CTGGTGCTGGAGAAGATTCCTGCATTGAGTCCCTTGGACTGCAAGGCCATCCAACCGGTCAGTCCTAGAGGAGATCAACCCTGACTGCTCTTTAGGAGGCCAGTTCCTGAAGATGAGACTCAAAATACTTTGGCCACCTAATGAGAAGGAAGGACTCACTGGAGAAGAGCCTCATGCTGGGAAAGATGGAGGGCAAAAGAAGAAAGGGACAGCAGAGAATGAGGTAGCTGGATGGAGTCACCGAAGCAGTCGGCATGAGCTTAAATGGACTCCGGGGGATGGCAGAGGACAGGAAGGCCTGGAGGAACATTGTCCACGGGGTTGCGATGCATCGGACATGACTTCACAACTAATAACCACAAGAACAGGCTAAACTCTTTATAGAGTCGTAATACCCTGATGTTATTCTCTCTTTCCACTCACCTTAACCCCCTTCTTTGGGTACCAAATTTAATATGCATAATGTTTAATAGAAGCAGGTCAGGTTTTGAGATTAACACCAATAACCATAATGAAAACAGATGTTTACATCCATCTGGAATACAGATTTAATATGTTAAGTTCATCGCTCAAGGCCAGGCTGTGCAATCAGAGTTGTTTTCCTCCCCTTTTTTTTTGCTGGGCCTAATTTAATGAGTGGTTTTGGATTAAACAGGGGCCCCTTCCCTGCAAACAACAGGCCAGTGATCTATATTAAATCTCTACAAAATGAAAATAGCAAAGATTTACTTAGGGTCATTACACAAGAAAATTTAATCACAACCCCATCCATAATGTCCCATCATCATCAACTGATAATTGAAATGCCATGTAAGGGATTATGAATAACCCTGTTTATGGATATAGCTTTCTGATTATCTTTATGTCCAGTGGGTAACATAAAATATGAATTTTAATAATATACAGTATTTGCTTCTGAGAAACTCCATATGGGATCTTCTGCAGGGAAGGGAAATGGGGTGGGGTGGGGAATATCCAGTAGCTTTTTCCTTGGTATTAATGGGATTTGTTTACATGAGTGATATTTGTCTGCTCGGGGATACCCCAAAATCAGAAAAAAAATAGACTCCACCACAAAAGAAAACAATGCCTTTTTCTCTTCACTCTAAATCAAATCATTCGACTCTTTGCTTTTAGATTTAAATTCATTGTTAAACCACCCACAGTCCCGCAAATGTGATAGGCAGAATAGGAATTTGGTTAAATAAATACATAAAATGAATTAACCATGCAAACCTGGGGCCTTCTAGATGTATTGGTGAACCGCTCGCAGGTTTTCCCAGCTAAACATGGAAAATTATAGGACAACAGATTGGGAAATAAGGTTTAGAGACCCTGGATAGTTTTTTTTTTATTTGAGCTCCTTCCAAAGGAACTGTTTTTAATATTGAGAACTATCAAAACAATACTGTGGGGTTCATTTTCTAA